GACGGCCATAGGGTTTAAATACGTAACCATGATATTGTTTCCATAAGTCATTCAATCGAATAAAGAAACCAGAAATTCGCGTAAAAAATTTTCAACTATGCGACCGTATAAGGGCGACTATGCGATCGCATAGAACAAAATGTAAGGCCTTTGAAATTTTATGAAGCAACCTATGCGACTGCATATGTATTAATACTATGCGACTGCATAGTATTAAGAAACTTCCGTTGTTTTGCGTTTTGGTTTTCGAATTCCATTTTGCAATTCTCGACCTCTTTTCACACTTAATCTTCTTTCAATATATCATTCATTTGATCAATTTTATCTCCCCATCTTCACATCTTCAATTCCTATTCTGGGTCATCTTTCGATTATTTGCACATTGGTCCCCGAACTTTGATTTTCTTTTGTTTTAGTTCTTTTTTGCCCATTTTTCTTCTAATTTTCGCTATATTCATCAGTGTTGTCCTGTAAAACACAAATTATATCGAATTAAGCTATATTCCACATATTTATTAACAATTATCCATGTTTGTGGTCCAAAATAAGTGTGTAAAATGCACTCATCAACAATGAGAAAAAACAGGCCGAGCGGCTCGTTGGTTCGACTCGTCAAAAAATGAGCCATGAGCCGCTCGGGCTCGTCATTTGACAAGTCTAGCGTGCCCACGAGCCTAGTGAATTAAGCGAGGCTCGCAATTTTTTAAAAATGCCAGTGACCGAAACGATCACTGAACCTAAAAGTGACCGTTTCGATCACTAAACTTTTTATTTCTTTCCAAAATTTTTCCTATAAATACAACTACCTTCATCAAATTTTTTTCACCCATCTCATTCTCTAATCTCTCTTCTACGTTTTACATTATTGAATTATACTCTTGATTTTACAATCTAGTTTCTAGACTACAATATTATACCCCTGTTTGATCCACATTATTTTTCTTATTTTCATTCTTTTACTCATTTTCAACCACACATTTTTCAATAAAATAATATTTTCCATCACATCAATAATTTTTCCTTCTTTTCAATCACATTTTCCCCATCACATCAACAATAAAAATACATTCTTACTCCCAAAATGTGCACCAAACAGATAGTCTACATTTATTTTTAATTCTACTTCTACATTCAATTTCAATTATTCAATATTAATTATCATACTACAAATTTTCAATTACAATCGTACACGTCAATCTTCTTTTAATTCTTGATTTATTACCTACTATACATTTTATATCAATTCACAAATGGATCCACGCTCATTTGTTGAAGGCTTGTTCGGTATTGACGGCGAATCACCTATCACGCCGCAAAGTCAATTTCATAATGAATTCGCCGGTCTAAATGAAATACCTATTCCCAAAAATATTCCGGATTTCGATGCCCATGGAAGTGGTAATCCAATTGATTTGGATGACGTTGATGTTCTCGATGCGAAATGGGAGGATGAACATGAACCTGAGTTAGATATTCCCGATGTAAGACAGAAGAGAAATGGGAAAAAGCAGGCAAAATATTGGGATCATTTTAAATTGATTCAAACAGGTCGTGTGGTCGATGGAGTTCCAGAATCTAAAGTAGTATGTAAATACTGTCAACAACGATTGGTATGGCAAAAAGGCATTGGAACCACCTACTTAAACAGTCACTACAAAGCATGTGCAGCCAAACATGGGCTTCTTCCGCTGGTCAAACGCAACTACAATTTGGTAGTCCACGCACCGGTTCTTCTACTATGCCACTTTCTACGTGAATGTATTTGGAGGAGAAAGCTCGAACGAGAATGGTGATGTTCATTGCCGTTGCTGAGTTGCCTCTAGCAATAGTGGACAACCAACATTTTGTCTCCTACGTGAAAGAATATTTTCAACCAAGGTACGTCGGGGTACGTAGAAACACTCTTCGTTCTGATACAATAGAATAGAACATCCAACATTTCGTCTCCTACGTGAAAGAATATCTTCTATCCAGGTACGTTAAGGGAAGGTGATATACTCTTCGTTCTGATACAATAGAATATTTCATTCATACAAAGAAACTATTGATTGTCGATTTAGAAAAATATGAGGGCGTTATATCTTTAATTTCAGATATATGGGAAGTGATTAATAAAAGAGGTTATATAGTTGCAACTACACACTATACAGACCCCTTTGGTCTATGCACAAAAAAATTATTGAGTTTCCTCACAATGCTAACAACATATATAATGCTATTATGAATATTGTTAGGGAATATCATTGCGAAAGTAAAATTTGTTCATTTACATCCGACAACGCTACTGTTAATAAGCTAGTTATCGATAAATTGTGCAGAGTACTGCAGCTTGATTTTGGTGGTTATTTATTTCATATTCGATGCGTGTGCCATATTTTTAATTTAATAGTGCAAGACAATTTAAAACATATTAAGAATGAAATTCTAAGATTTAGGGATGCACTAGTGTATATCACTATTTCACATAGTAGAAAACAAGCATTTGAGAAATTTTGTGCCGAAGTTGGGGTGACGCATACGAAAATATTTATTAGTGACGTAGGGCATTGATGGAACTCCACATACTTATTATTAAAATCATGCGAAGGCTTTAAACATTTAATAACTGAATTTTATAACAATATGCATATTAGAAACGATGACGATACTATTTTGAATGAGTTTGATTGGATATTAGCTTTTAAGATTAAAAATTTTTTGACAAATTTTTATGATTCTACAAATATTTTATCTGGAGTTTATTATCTCACTAGTTGTATGGTCCTTGAATGTCTTTATACAATCGCTAGGACTTTTCATAAATATAAAAATGACCCCAAGTTTAGTAAAATTATATATTCTGTGGAATTAAATATTAGAAAATATTGGAAAGACTTGCCTAAATTTGTAATTGATCAAATTTCAAGAGTTTTAACTTTTAATGTACCTATCACTTATAGAAATCTAGAACAAACTTTATGTGAAATGTATGAATTATATGCAGAACGAAGGGGTATAAATATTAATCGGGTACCCTCTGGCTCTGCACCCATTCCTTCCACTAATATACCAGATGACGACGCTGAAGTTATAACTTTATTGAAGGTATTAACTCACATCGATATGATTTAAATGCATGTGGTTCCTCTAATAGTAGTTTGTCAACCGCATGTAATCAAATATCGGACGTAAGTCCAAATTCATTGCCTACTAAATTAATTGATTACTTTAATCATAATATGCTTAGTAACAAAACAATTAAGAAAAGTTCAGAAGAAGTCATTGAATTCTGGCGAAAATACGAAAGTCGATGGCTAGTGGTTTTTGCGATGACAAAAAACCTACTAACACTCCTGGTTAGCATTGTAGTTTCGGAGTCTGCTTTTAGTGCTGTAAGAGGGTGATGTTCGAGGTCAGGAGTCGACTGAAAGAAGATATTTTGAAAGCATTGATGTGCGTGAAGGACTGGCAAGACTGTCATTTTCGACTACAAGATAAATATGCGAAAATTGCATCTCGTAAAGTAAGTGATATTTAAGTTAACCATATTCATCAAATTTTTTATTTTATAATACATTTATAATTTTTTAAAAAACTTGTACACGTAACAAGTTGTCCGTGTGCAATTTTTAACTCCACCTATTCGAAATTGAAGTAGTTGGTCCCAAACCCAGATAAAGGAAGAGGGTTTACCTTTTTAAAAAAAAAAAATTTATCTCAAAAAATGTTTAGAAAATGTATATTAAAAAAATATTTATAAAATGTTTTTTTTTTGTCTTAAATAAAATTTATGTAACACCAAAAAAAAGAGCTCGCGAGCCGAGCTCGACCCACGAGAAACGAGCTGAGGCAAAGCTCGGCTCGTGACGATCACGAGCCGAGCTCGTGCTAACACGGGCCGAATCGGCTCGACCTATTGCCCACTAGGAATAACGAGTTATGCTCAAAACCACAAACTCAATTTATTCAACTAAAATATGATCACGAAATATTTTAAGGGGACCCCATGCCATTCCTCTCATGAAGTATGTATTTGCTATGATTGCACAGAAGCCCTTCCATTGGAGCATCATTTCCTTTGACAGCGGACGAGCAGATGACCATCGAACTATGGTTGGTTGTGGTGTACATAGAATCGTGATGAATACAATGCTCAACCAGAGAATACATTCATCAACCTGCATGAAAATTAGTATCAGAAGTCCGATTACAGGAGAAACGGTTTGAGTCCTCTGTGAGTACACGGGTCAAGACAACTCAGGGCCTGCATGAAAGACAGAAGATGCTTCAAGAAGACTGTGTAGTGCATTCCAAGAAAGGTGTCCACAAAGTAAGAGACGTAATGACCATTTGACGAGGAAAAAGTAAGCGTGAAGAGAGAACAATTATGCTACTTGTACAAAAGTGATTTAGAAAAGTGTGTTGACAAAATGATGTGACAAGATTTAGGTAATTGATTTCAAAATTGTTTTTTAAATCATTGACCAAAATATCGTTAACAAGTATTTTATAAATCAATTTTGTAATCTAATTTTGTACAAGTAGTATGACTCGAAGAGATAAGCAGAAAGGTGAACTCTTAGGGTTGAGAAGATGAGCTGGACGGGACCCACATCATTTGGGAAGAATACAGTCTTTTGAGTCTTTTTATAAAGTTTGTAGTCATGTGAGTTCGGTACCTACCTTGTCGGGATAAGGTATCTTTTTCTTTATGGGATAAACTCAACTTTTTAGGTGAGAGCATTATGCTCTTACGTCCATAAATACGTATGGCTCAAGCTCGGGAAAAATCATCCCAAAGACTAAGCCAATATTTTTCTTACCACAGTTTGAATAGAGAGCCTCCTTCCCAAAAAGTACTCTTTATTCTTGTGAGCTCTTGAACCGTGTCTAAACTCATAATACATGAGGGAATAATCCCCATAGAAAAATTATCAATGTCTTTTATTGATAAGAAAATATTTGATTCAACAATGACATTAGAAAAAATTGTTGAACAAATCCGAGAGTTACGGATTATCATGGCTCAATTACAGGGAAGTCTTGATAGACTTCATGAAGTTAAGAATATCAAGGAAGATATTCTACAAGCTATCAAGGAAGAAGGACACTTAACCAGAAGTGTGCTTAGCAAAAGACACTGTAGCTGCCAAGAGGAGATACAGGGTCTCAAAGAATTGATCAAGGATATTCCAACAGGTCCTAAGATCTTTCAACCAACAAAATGGGAAGCCCCATGGAAGGGTCCTTTTCACAGATGATGCGGCATTGCTAAAGGATTCAAGTAATAGCAGTCGTTCCGAAAAAAGGTCTGCCTTCATATCTTCATCCGAAGATGGAAACAATAACAGGATTAAATTATGCTCAAGCCATATTAAATCTTGATAATTGTTCATCAAAACAAATAGACTTGATAGAAGAATGGAATGGTGCAAACAGCTTCATACTCAACACTCAAAGTTGGCAAAATGATTCAACATCAGTTGACAACTTCATCAAATCAAGGTTATCCGGTTCAGTATTATACTGGTATAACAATACCAAGCCAGAAAAGAAAACTATTCTTTGGCAACAGCAGGAGGGCAGTGGAGTTAAATTCTTCAATGCAATCACTGAAGAAATTTTCAGACAGTTCGCAGGAATTGAAAGATCTGAAGCAGGATATAGTGAATACTTGGAAGAACAGGCTAAGAACCTCGAGAAAATCAGATTATGTGATATTTATTATTTTAATAAATACGCATGTCAGTACAAACATTTCTATTTCAGGATTCCTGAAGAAGAAAGAAAACCATGGGAAGATCGTTTCTACAGAAAGATCGATTCAATCTATTGGAGAGAAAAATTCCGGGAAAAATGGAATGACGGGATTGATGGAATTCCAGACAATCTTGGAGGAAGAATAAGACTTGCTAAGGATTTGCTCAGAGAAGCTTGCAGAAAAAGAAAAGACAAAAAGGAGCTTAAAGGCAGAGGAAGAATTTTATATGATCAACAAGATCCAAGTCTAGCAAGAGAATGGGGTTGCTATGTCACTCCCAGAAGAAAGACTCCCAAGAAGCATTGGAAGCCTAAACCAAATAAGAGGTTTTACAAAAAGCGACCATGTCCAGAAGGCAAACCTTCAAACAAATGCAGACGTTTCATTTGCAGAAAAGAAGGGCATGTTGCTACAAATTGTCCAGAAAAAGGAAAAGAGAAGGTCAATATGGTGTCTCCTATACTATATTTATCATCCAGTGAAGATGAATCATCAACACAATCATCCAGTTCAGGTTCAGAATCAGAAACTGATCAGAACAACAATCTTCATAATCTCAAGCATATGCAGATTACTGAAGGAAAGGAAATCTCAGCCATCGCTGAAGATAAAAATTCACAGTGGAATGCTTTTCACTATGATGATGAAGAAGAAGTGATCCTATTCAAAGGGAAACAGTTCACAATCAATGCTTTTCACTATGATGACGATGAAGAAGTGATCCTATTCAAAGGGAAACAGTTCACAATCAATAATCAAATTACAAAGATAAATATGTAATTTTTAATTTTTTATGTAATTTTTGTTCCAGATCATTACTCAAGAATTTAAGTTTATCCACTCATGGGGCAACAATAACAAAATCACTGCAACGGAAAATGATCATACACCTTAAAATTTGATCGCATAATCTTGGACGATTGATAAGATATATATGGCATGTTTGGTATTTAGTATTGGACAAATTTTAATTCATTTTTCTTTCATAATGCTGTCAGAGTGTTATCTATTCAACCTCATCAAATATGCCAATAGAGGTAAGAAGACTGAGACCTCATACTGGCTGGCACTGCATCTTTATCTACGTAATCATTTACAAGGGTAACACATTCGACCAAAATGATTTCACCAGATGGGTACAATGAAGTTCAGAAAGCATTTTGAAATCCGCAATGGAGGAACAAGTGATGTAAATTCATTCAAAGACGAGGCATCCTAAGTTAATATATGAATATAGTTGGCAAATATGTTTACTGAACTGCAAGCGTGTGAGAAGCTGTCTGGTTTGGACAAATCTTACAGTTAGCATAAAATGGTAAATGAGACTTTACACCTAGATTGGTTATCCAACGATTCCCAGAGATCATATATGAAGGTTGAAAACAGAAAAATAATTCATATTCTATTTAAAAAGTACCGACTAGACACTTCAATTTGTGTCCACTTGATTTCACTAAACCTCTAACCGTGTGCATACTTGATCATCTACGTGAACATGAGCCTTTGTTGCCATGATAGCTGTGGAAATAGTCATGTGAAATGCTGATGAGTGATGATATATTTGTAATAATCGAGTAACAAACTTTTATGTAAACAAGTTTACTTACTTCTTGGGAGATAATTTTGGACCTTAGTTTAGACCAGTATTTCCACCACATGCTTGCATTGCATCAATTTCAACACCGGATTCTTTCATATCAATTTCAATACGGGACTCACTCAAATATTTAGTCAAAGTTGTTCGAAACCAAATTTATAAACTCGAACAACAAACATTATTATTCTCCAAACTTGACGCTCATAACCCGTAGGTATTTTGTATCTATTCATTTGTTCGACATTTTCTGAAAGTGTGGGGTGGGTTACTTTAGCGCTGTAGTGTTTCGTGCTTAAACGTTGGCTCAAGATATTTCCTCACCTCCTTACCCTGTTAAAGTTGGGGAGAAACTTTTTTTTCTATTATTTCACCCTTCTTCCTTGAAGATTCCAACTCAAGTCAATGATTGATAAAATTTCTTCCTTACTCCTTAAGTATTGATCTCAAAAGGTGTGGAGAAATTGTATAGAAACAAATTGTTAAAATATTGAATAAAATTGTACATATAAAACAAATGAATAATGATGATTGAACATGTTCAAAGACAAGAAAATGATAGACAGATTGACTTGATAGCACCTGATTGGGTGTTTTTTTTTCAAACCGTTCACTTATGTATTGATACGTATCTCCCTTTTTTTTAATATGTTTTTTAGCATGTTTGTGTAACGTAATTGTAAAAAAAATATAAGCGGCCAATCAACCAATCAATCCTACTTTAAAAGCGTGCTTCCTTCCTAACATTAAATTGTGATGGTTAATAAAAGTAAAAAGAGAAGGAAAAAAATTAAGAGCCTGTTTGGTAACAATTCTCCTTTTCTACAGTAAATCAATTCTCATTTTCAACCACACATTCTTCAATAAAATAATATTTTCTATCACATCAATAATATTTTCTTCTTTTTCAACCACACATTTCCCATCATATTACTATTCAAAAATCAATTTTTCTCCTAAAAATCCCTACCAAACACACTCTAAGAGCTTGTTTGGAAATGATTAAAATCCAATTAAAATTGAAAATATAGTCGTTATTGGATCCCACCACACGCTTTAGTTGGTTGAAAGGCGACTTTACTTGCCGCCTTTTTATCCTTTCCACTCATAGATTGGCGTTCATCATGGATCTGGCTATTCGGCTATTCCCCAACGTCTCCAGATATTAATAAAAAGGATAAATTGCAATAGTTGTCCCAATCTATACACTTATTTACACTTTTACCCTCAATCTTTTTTTTTTCCTTAAAATTAATCTCCAAAACCTTTTTATATCCGGAAATTTCGGGCTTAACTAACATGAGAGAGAGAGAGAGAGAGAGATTCCATTAAGCCCCAAATCTCCTTCGTTTGTACGACTTCACTCATCAAACAGTTTTCCCCGATCGTAATATCCTAAACCCCTCTTCTTCGTCAAATCCTCACCTTTTCAATGATTCAGTTATTGTTTACTCTGATTTTCGCCGAAATGGCGTTGATCGTGATCTTCGTGTTCAAGACGCCATTCAGGAAGCTGGTAATAATGGGCATAGATCGGATCAAGCGGGGCCACGGCCCAATCGTGGTGAAGACTGTTGCCGCTACAGTCTTCGTGGTGATGATGTCTAGTGTGTACAATGTGGTGGCAATCCACAGGCATTGGATCGAAGATGGTGATATTAACCCCACGGAACAGATTCTCTTGGCTAAGCACCTTCTCGAAGCTTCTCTCATGGGTATGATAATAATCTAGTGTAAAAGCTTAACTTGTTAGAAAGGAGCAATGTCTATTTAAATCGAGTCTCAACACTTCGGCTCACTTACAAACTGGATTAAATTTTTGATCAAACGTTTTGAGTGCTCAATTTTTGGTAAATTAGCGGTGGTAAGATTTCAACCAGATCTTTTTGCCTTAACTCGATACCACGTCAATCGGCTGTTTTGAAACTTTAAAATTAGTCTTTCTAGTATCGCTTGTATTTCTTTCAATTTTGCCTTCCAACGGGGTATTTATAGCAAGAATTCTCCTTAAAAAAAAACCTAAAAAGCTCGAAAATTTGCAGAGAATCTGTGATGTGGAGTCTTTAAAGATAAATAAATCACTGCTGTGTTCTGCATTAGTTAGACGCAAGCTACGTATTCATTGTTTTGTGCTGGTACCTGTATTTTCTAAAAATGCTCCACATTAATAAAATTGCCTTTTGTCTTGATAGTATCGACTAAATAATTATATGATAATGTTTGAAGTATTTTGAGGAATCTAGCATAATGTAACTGTATAATCTGTGTGATTTTTGGGTTGTGGACTATTATACTCTTCTTCATTTCTGTTGACTAGGATATGTGTATTTTAGTGCTAATTGGAACAAACATCGTGTTGAAAACATATACGACATGCCTGACATTTTTTGTAATAGTAATATCTAAGTTTTTTTTTTTTTCCAGTTATGATCTTCTTTTCTTCTAAGGATTTTGATTTATGAATAGTCTATCTTTTGCAGTTGATGCTGGGAATATTGGCTCAAAGTATTTTGTTATAATGATATTATATTTTTAAACTATACAGTGGAATGAACCTGGTTGTGTGTAGGCTGCCTAATTCCTGATACAAAACAGCAAATAATCGAGAAAGCATGAATCTTAAGAGTGTGAGAATGATTTAAATAGATAATACTTACCAACACCAATCGATTCACACTCCAAATTAAGTTCAGAACACACATATCAGAAACTTTTTGAACTTCCATACTTAATTTGCCTTTAACAGGCAGATCATTCTTTAATGACCTAACTGCTGTCACATGTCAGACCCTTGATGCCAACCCTGATTTTAAAAGCGAACCTCAGTGTCTAGATTTTTCTTAAAATTGAACTATTGAGAAGGAAAATTTCAATCTTATCAATGTGGGAATTGAAAATGAAGGCTTTCATTTCTGTGTTCCCACTTTTGGTCCCAACTTTAGTCAACCATTGTTTTCACGATATTATTTGCTCATATACCTGGAAAAAGGGAAAAATATTTCTAGAAAGCACACGATTACAACCTCGTTTTTAGCTGACCTTCGCTATAAAATAATGCTTTTCTACTCTAATATTTAGTTACATTGACACTTTACCGAAGCTCTAGATTAGCGGATTTTCAAAACTTGGCACACCGGAGCTCTATCTTGTGACTTCATGGAATGCCTTACAAAGTGATCAATTTTACCAAATTTTTTGGGTTGGTTCCCCTGCCATCCATGTTGTCTTTCAGCCTAGATTAACTTCGCATGAAGTGCTCATGTTACTCTGTAGTCAGCTTGTATTAACGTATTGACTTGAAGATTGATTACTCTTAGATGTCATGAGATGTACCTCAAGCTGATGTGGACCAAGATATCAGTGTCAAACACTTGCAGAATGAGTCATCATCAAACTGCTGAAAATTGTTCATTGATGTTTTAAGAAGAGATGTTTCTTGCAATCTCAGCCTTTTCTTCACTCTAGTTTTCAGCTATCATCTTATTTTGTCATATGAGCCTCACGTTGCCTCTTTACTTCCTCCGTAGTTATAAAAATGGTATACGATGCAGAGTTTCGGACGAGTTAAATTGTGCTACTCATGCACGATACACTAAAATTTTAGCTTTCCCTTATTTTTTCGTAATGTCTTCTGATTTAAGATGATGCTACTTAGATGATTATCATCATTATCTATTAACAAACATAAATTCGTTATGTAATGCCAATTAAAACTCTTCAGAAATAGTGACAAGAATTTGGAAGGTGGTATTTGATACGGAGTCTCCATTCTGAAGAAATTTATGATATTTTCTGCAATAGAGGCCATGGTCAATGGTGACATTTAAAGCATCGTCTCTCGCTTCAAATTTTTTGATTGCAGGTTTAAATTCAGTCCTTTTGATCATATCAAGTTTAATTGAATTAAATTTCATGCAGGATTTTCTCTATTCCTTGCATTCATGATTGACAAGTTACATCATTATATCCGAGAACTTCGCATAAGGAGGAAGACTATGGAAGCTGCAAAGAAACAAAACCGACTTTTCGAGGATGGTAAGACTCAAGTTTCTGAAGAAATAAAAGCCTTGGAAGAAGAAATGGCCCCATTGCGGGCAAGGATCAAGCAGCTTCAGTCCGAACTTGAGAAAAAGACTGAAGAGGCAAGCAATGCAGAAGCCCATGCTCTAGCTTTGAAAAAGCAATC